GAGTCAACTTTTGTTACTCATTTTGTGAGAGAAATTATTCTTCAAGTAGAAACATGGCTAACTTAATTGTCTGAGATTGTTAGGGAACACTTTATAAATTTCAGCTTGACAATCCTTCTAGAAGGCTGCAGTCTGTTGTATGGCCTGTCCTTGGGCTTCACTGCAAGCAGAGTATAGAAAGGCCAACCTATTCAATCTTTACTCCTGTGTAAAGTAGTCAAACCCAAAAGGACTCCTTGAAGGGCCAAACTGATTGTCAAACATAATGAGCTGTGATCCTCTCTGATACCGTTTGGATTCCTTTGTAGGTTTACCCTGTGTAATAAAATGTTCTGAATTTCAGTATGAGCCCCTTGGTGATTATCTAGTACCTCCCAGCAAACATTTATTAGCCACCTTTCTATGCTACAGGAATTCAAAGCACTTACAATGTAAACAACAACAAAACGCTATCAAATATATAAAAACCACTAGTGTAAAATCAATATTTAAAATTGCCAGTAGCAGAAAAACTGAAAACTAATCCAACTGCAGTGATGAATAAAGCTGTCTTCAGCTGCCTCCTAAAGGTAGAGAGTGAGAAGACCAGGCACATCTCCCTGGGAGGTTCCATAATTGTAGGGCTGCCACTGAAGAAAGCCCTCTCTTGTGTATCCACTAGATGGGCTTCTTAGGGTGAGGCCCTCTTGACTGTCCCATCAACCAATCATCTTAGTTCCTGGGCAGGAACATATGAAAGGAGACAGTTCTTCAGATGTGCCAGTTCCAATTCATGTAATCCTGTAAAGGTCAAAAAACAGCACCTTGAATTGGGCTTGGGAGCAGATCAGAAGCCAGTATTAATTGCTTTAGAATTGGGGTCACATCATCCTGATAACTGGCCCCAACTAGCAGTCTAGCTGCAGCTTTCTGCACTACTGCAGACTCCAAACACTCTTCAAGGGTAGCCCCCCAAGTAGAGTGTGTTGCAGTAGTCCTATCTAGATGTAATTGAGGCATGGATCCCTGTGGTTAGGTCAAACTGAGCTAGGAACGAGTTTAGTTGGGGCACTAACCAAATCTGGGCAAAAGTACTCCAAACCGCTGCGGCTACCTGATTTTCTAAGGTGACCACTGTGTTGAGCAGAACTCCCAAGCTGCGAACCTGATTTTTCAGGGGGGTTGTAACCCCATCCAAGACGGGAGAGCTCAAGTCCCTTGTCTGCCTTTCTGTTGTGCTTCAGAGGAAAGCTTCTGACAATGTTACATTTGAATAATCTGTTAACACACCTTTAAAAAACCAGCTGTTTAATTCAAACCAGTAATATTACACAGTGAACAGTTTCATATATCTGGTCAAAAATGTCCTTTCAGGTTGCACAGTAATGGAAATTTTCTGTAGAGTTCTTCAGACTGTTATATAAAAGAATGCTTGAAAGTTTGTAATCTAATACTTACAGAAGCAAAGTTGGTTTGTAATGTAGTTTTTAAATACTGAATGATAGTAGTAAGGCATATAGCAAAATCTGTTTCCAACTTAAGGCTTTAATCCTTGTGGTGAAGATGTAGTGTGCCAGCAGTGCAGATACACCTCCAAGATACAAGCTACATCTTTAAAGCATGCCACGCAGAAGGGTGAGAGGCTGTTACTCCAAGACAAGCAGTCAAGTAACACATGGCATCAGCCTACACTTGCTTTGCCACCATGGCATCATACAATGCTTCCTACGCCAGGGGAACACAGCATAGTGCTATGTTTGTGGCTTTCTGACCTGCTTTCAAAGGGCCTGTAATACTGTAATAGTTGCATGCCTGTATTTCCTTTGTTTTCTGGGTTCAGTGACACAAGGGAAGGGGGCCAAGAGACTGGCAGCTAACAGTGTTGTATTTCCCAGGAGTGATATGCATAGCACAGGACTATACCATGGGAACTAGGGAGGGATGGAAAGTACTGAGACAAGAGTGGAGTGAAGGTTGGTGTTAGGAGTAGGAGGATATGGGTTAACCTCTCCTTAACAGAACTGGGGCTTACAAATATATGGCTTCTCTTTTTGCATGTTTGTATACATTGAAAGATTAAAAGGTTCACTATTTTGCTCCTCTAGTATTTTTTCGACTGACTATGGTACCACTCTAAATGTTTTTTCCAGATACAAAGACTCTGTCTGGGAAGTCATAGTTCTCGCTGTAGAATTCACTCTGCGAGCTGTATATTTATGCTTTTAGGACAGTCAGCTTGCCAACATCTTTGACAGAAATTCTTAGCCTATATAATGTTATTTTCATAGTAATAATCCAAGCATAGTGGCTTGAGCACTTCACACATGGTGAAATTATATGAATTCTTCCCCTGGCACCTCAGTATTCTGTCAGCATTAAATTCCTGTCATGGTCAACAACATTAACTATTTCCTTGGTGCACCAGGGGATGGGGTGTGAGTGCAGCCTTCGGGGAGCTGAGAATTTGAAGTTGGTGCAAAGAAAGAAGTGCAGAAGGAAGAGGAAATGAGACAAAAGTCAGAAGATGATGAAGAACGAAGAGTTAATAAAGAGCAAAGAAGTGGATTTAAAGAGACATTTTGCTCCTTAAATGTTGAATTCTACTGTTCAGTACTAAATAAACTGTTAACCTTGTAGGTCAATCATATTGGCCAGATTCTTATTTTGGCCTTCACTAAAATATTTCCTTCCATTATTAATAGGAGGTGACTATAGATCAAGTAAAACAGCTCTGCCTTTATGCATGTAAAGGTTAAGATACTGACCACCAAAGGGCAATGCTACTATTCATGCAAAATTCACTCCATTTGAGGGCTACATTAAATAGGAGCAGGGGAGTAGAATGAAAACTAGTGGTGCAAACTAGAATTGCAGTCAACAGTTTTGCCAGCTTTGGGATCATACCAAAGGTTTTTAGATAAAAAGGGCTTTTATTTGGTCAGAGGCAGTGTTAGGAATATGCCACAGTATGTCAGGGAAACAAACAAACAAAACATACACAAGGCCTTTCTAGAAGAAATTAGGATGCCTTCTAGTGGCTCAGACACCTTGACAAAACCCTTGTGTAGTATTATGTAGGTCCTAACTGCCAAGTAACTTGGGCCTTTGGGTGTAGTAAAGGCTTAGCTCTCACTAAGCTGATAAACCTGTGTGGGCTGCAACACTTCAGAATATAGTAGAGGCTCATATGACCAAATGCTCTTCCACAGGAAAATATCCCTCTACGTAAAATGCTAGCACGTTGGAGAGCAGGCCCCTTTCCCCCTGATAAACTAGTTACCTATCTGGAAGGGGGTGTACAATCCACCATCTGCACTCAGAAGCACTGCAGCCCAGTCACAGGCTTTGCAGCTCGGAGAATTAGAATGTAAGGTTTATGGCTAGTTAGCCTGAAAAATGAATGAGGTGGTGGTACACCCCATCAAACAGATGATGCACTGCTTTGTTATGTGTGCATGCAGATTAGTCTTTCCTTTTTGGTGGTGAAACAATCAGAAATAAATTATGCAAATATACTTGTATGCCCATTGTATGCGTCATGTTGTATTGTATTTCTGGGATGAGGGAGTGATAGATACTGTGTTGCTTCGAGATTTACTCCTAGCAGTGCTATCTGAAGTTACTCATGTTGCTCTGTCTTAAACATTTAAACTAGCCCAATTTGCCTCACTAGTATAACATCAATATTGCTATATTTAGTGGGATTCTGTTCCATTATTACACTCTTTTTATCTGCGAAAGCAAGCCTTCTTAAATGAAGCACTTCTGATTATTCGGGATTGCTATGATCTTCCTTTTTTGGTAATTTCAGACCTGAGATTTTCCCGAACAGATTTTCAGGAGTTCTGTTCTGTTAGGGACTCTCAATCGAGTTTTCCCGTTAATGCAAGAAAGATCAGGGGTGGGGGAAGGAGTGGGGATCTTGTTATTGGGAGTTGATTAGAGAACAGTAGTAGTGCACACAGACTTATGCAGAGTGGCTTTTCCCATTTTTGTAGAATTTTGTGATTAACATTTTTTTCAGGAGGAAGTACTGGTAAACAACTATATTTCCCAGCAGTTAGAAACGGAGCCTTAAATTTTATAAGCTTGTTACAAAATAATTCCGTACAGCTTTGCTTTTCCTTCTTTTGGAAAGGAAGGTGTCAAGGCATTAAGGGCAGGTTTTTTTCCTGATATGTCTGTGAGAATGTGATTGGCTGGTGTGAGATCCTACAGAAAAGGGCAGTCAGTTTGACCTTGCTAAATACCATTTCTTGTTGCAAGAAAGGGTGTGTACGCATATGTTATATTCTGTAACTGTGTACATAAAAGAGGGAACTGAAAACCAATGAGAACAGATTTTTGGATCAGAGAATTGCGGACATGATTGAGTGAAGGAAACTTGGCATTTGTTTGTGTTAAAACAGATACTTCTACAACAAACCAGTTTTGTTGTGATCATTCTAAATATAGAGTAGCTAATGTTGCAAGGGATCGTAGATTGTGTGTACTGTCTCAGAGAGCAGAGTGGCTGCCACCTTAATAAAGTATTTGAGCATCAAGTTTGTGTTTCTGGGGTTGTTTGTGACCAGAGTGCACCAGATGGGGCCTGTATGCAACTTAGTACTTTTATGAGAGACGAGGTCTGTCTTCAGTGAGAAAGATCTTAAAATACTCTGCAAAAGTAGTTGTTTGTGATACAGGAAAATGTTTTTTTGAATCAGTGGCCAGTGTTGGCAATAAACAGTTGAAGTTATAATGATCCTTTGGAACTGAGAAGTGCTGGAACAAAAATCACTTCCCAAATACTGTAGTTTGCTACCTGCTGCTGAAGCAGCCTTTCTTTCTACATCAGTCACGAAACACATTCCTTCAAGTTGTCAGCTCTGTAGGGATTTTTAATCCATGAGAAATTTAAAAAAATCTGTAAAGCAGCTAAAACACACCTTTCACAAGTGCAGCTTCAGTCAAAAATTTAGTTTAAAATTGTATATTGGCCAGTGGAATTGTTACAAATGGCTGTCTTTTCCCCACCTCAGAATAGCATTCCCTTCGAACACCATGGCAAGTAGCTGCTCGTCTCCTTCTCGTTGGAAAGCAGCACTGGGTGAGTCCCTTCTCATTAGACACCAATTTGGAGGGTGGGTTTGGATGTGGGGATATCAAATTGGGTGTTCTTTGTGTTAGTTTTGCACTTTTATTTCCTATTGCCCTGCAGGTGAGAGGTGAAGTGGTTAGGCAGATTTTAAATGCATAATAAAATTTTCTGGATCTTTTTAGTACTTCACTAACTGCTCTTCTACTGGTGTCTTAGTAAGAAAAGCTGTTAACTATCAGAGCACAGGGATAACAAAAATTGTAGTGCTCCATGTGCCATTTTTCTTGCACAGAGTGTATCTCCATGTGAGAGAAATTATGTACACTGCTTAGCAGCAAATCTGCTTCGCCAGAAGCACATAGATTTCAGTAGATTTTGTAGGGGAAATGTCCACCTCAAGCAAGTTGGAAAGTTCAGTTACTTTACTGCTGGACTACATCATTGCAGCCATCAAGTTTCTCACAATTAGAAGCTGCAACACAGTTAATAAGATATTAATGTATCTTGCATATGATCTGTATCTCCTAAGCAAGTTTACTCTATAGTTAATTGCAGTTCTCTCTAACAGCACAGGGGTATTTTAATATGATTGCAGTCTGCAGAATGTTAACATTAATATGCCTCCAAGTCTTTTAAGTAAGTCTGTTTTAATTAAAATTTGCACTGTAGCACGTAGAATCAATACATCTTATACAATAAGATCAGCTATTCTCTCAAGGTTATAAATCTAGAAATATTACTGAGTAGTATAATAAGATTCTTCTCTGTGGATATACAGTATTTTAAAATACTGTGATGCAATGGTCATCATTATTGTTGAATAGTTTAAATATGGCTGTCTCCTAGTGCAAGTAGAACAGACTATTCAGCCTTTATTCTCTTCCCTTTCCCACAAGCAGCCAAAGATTAAAAAAACATTTTCAAACTGATAATGAAGCTGGAAGCAGTGCCTCTGGACTCTTTACAGGAGACTCTTAAATGTCGGTGTTGGTAGAAATTGATGAATGAATGTCTGCCTGTGGTGGCAGCAGTTCCTAAATGTATTGGGTGATTTTATTTATTTATTTATTTATTGTCTTGGTGGTGGCTTCAGCAGAATAACACGAAGTGTGTATGGGCAAATTGTGGCTTGCTGCCAATCTGAAATATATAGAAATCATTTCTTTGCTTTTGTTCAGTCAGACTGAGAAGTTCATTTGATTCTCTTGCTTTTCTCCCCTCCTTTCCTCCCATTAATAAAGCTCTATACTACACTAAACTCTCCTTCCTTTTGGTGCGGAATTGCTGTTGTTTTTTCTTCTCCCTGCTGCTTTTGTGTTTGTCTGACTCAATAGCGATTTGATTGTTAATTATGTTAGCAAACTGATTATCCACATGGGTCAGAACATCTGGATAATCCAAGTTGTTCATTTTATAGCTGTGTTGGGAAGATGGTCTTCCGAACCACCTTGGATTCAGGGTTCACACTGGGATATTCTGGATAGATGCTTTCTGAGAATACATGCCTGCTTGGATGAGAGTAAATCTTTCTTGTGGTCTGGGCTTCATAATTAAGATGGATAAACCTGCACTTGAGACTGCTATGGAGATTACTGGAGAAGGAGGATTCACTGTATATAGATGGTAGATTGCCAGGCAAAGTCATTCAGCTAGCTGGCTGACAGATGGTTTCTCCCATATGACTGTCTTCTCCACCATTACCACCCCTTTATCATTTTGGTGGGCATACAATTGAAATTGGGGAAGAACAGAAGATCCAACATTTGTGTAATTGGGATGAGTGAATATAACTTCCAGCTAGTTACATTGAGTCACCTATTCTGGTCTTAAAATCCTGTTTGAAGCCAGCGGAAGCCTTGAGGGAAGAACTGCAGATCATGTCCGTTATTGAGGTCCTTGTCTGTAACTATTAACCTCTTGTTGCACATCAGGATATATTTGCTACTTTAGTACGACTGGCCTCTGTGTGAACTGTGCATCAAAAAAAAGGGTCATAGTTCTTCAAGAAGAAGAATTGTGACTTGTGAGCAGAATATCTTATGTTCAGACATTACACAATCTTGACTAGCATCATTATGATTGAAGGACTACTGCCTCATTAGAGTTCGAACTAATTCAGCAGGGATTGAGCTAGGAATGGACATGATGAAATTCCCCCTCTCTGGATTGGTGCAGACTGCCCTCTCAATCTTTCTTAGGTGGGCAAAATGTCTGTCCTTTCCATTAACCCTGTATGAGGAGGTTTGAGGACTGTCTTTTGCAGTGCCTCGTTAGATATATATACTTATTGGAATAGAGAAATTCACACTGCTTACTATATTGCTTCAGTTACTTATTTAAAAAAATGAACATTGGTTTTCCTTCTCATCCATCCTTGTGAAGGAAGGTATGGGATCAAATTTCATCCCAATTCATACGAAGTAAAACATGGATTTCATCTTAAATGTAAAACCTGAAAGGACCTCCACAGAAGTTGTGGGATAGTTTAGAGGGGTGTGCGCTTGAAAAAAAAATCAGGACAGGAATTTTTGGATTTTGGGAAGCGTATCCATACCTGTACTCTAGATTGTTCAGATCCCCAGTATAGTTTCAGAATGTGGATGGGATTTTTTCAAATTTTGGGTGGTCCATTATTCCCTATGAGGGACTCTTCTGGGGAGAGATTCATTTTTAAGTGCCTGCCTATCCACTAAAGACCCCCACTCCAAGTTTCAAGTGAATTGGATTAAGGGGTCCAATCCTACAAGTCCCCTGAACAATGTACCCTTAACCATCCTATGGGGAAAAAATTATACACTTTCCCCGGGGCAACGAAACGAATAGATGAATGCACAAGAGCAACCGCTGGCCAAAAGCCTCCCAATGCAAACAGAAACAATAAGCCCAACAGAACCAGTGTTTAGACCAAAGAAGCCAAGCAGAACCCAGGGCCAATGTGGCAAGCCCAACAGAGCTAATGTCAAACCAGAATCCAGTTGTCATGATTGGGCAGACAGTTTTAGTTCTCCCCCTATCTGATCCCATTGCTCAGGAGAGTTGTCTCCTTCCCCCCTTCTGTGAAGCTGAAGAACAAAAGTACTGGGAGCCTTAAAATGCTGGGTCCAAATGTTTCCAGCAATATGCAGGACCCAGTTATCAGTATTTTGAGAATCCAAAATATTGTTCCAAATGCGCAGATATACCCTGTTTCCCCAAAAATAAGACCTACCCCAAAAATAAGCCCTAGCAGGATTTCTATGCATTTGTGGTATAAGCCCTAGTGTGTCTTCTTGAGAAAAAATAAATATAAGACAGTGTTTTATTTTCGGGGAAACACGGTATATAAAAGAATACTGGTAGATACTTTTAGGTATGTATTTGGACTGGAAATACCTGAATGCACATCCCTGACAGCTTAGTAGAAAATGTGGGGGCGTGGCGACGCGGGCAAGAAAGATGGCCGCCTAAACCAAGAGCTCCGGAGAACCCTCCACACCTTCAAATCGTGCTGACTAAAATCGCCCTGTAAACGTTCTAAAATTTATGGAGGTCCAAACAAGAACCACCAGCCATCAAACGGACAACAAAAAACAAAAGGTACAAGTCAAACTGAGCGCCAAACCGAGCCCCTTTCAAACAGGCCAGCGCCGCAGTATCCCTGCCAAAATGGCGGCAACAGGCACAGGGGGAGGGAAAGCCGATGCCCCGGTGTCTACCTCAGTCTTTGAAGCGACACTGAACAGACTTGAAAAGACACTTCTTGATAATATGGCTCTAATAATGCGCCCGATTCATGAACAACTTGAAAATATGCAAAAAAGTATTGATGAGAATGCTGCGGTAGCGGGGAGTGCGTTATCTAACACACAACTTAATTGGCGCGAAATACAAGAGGGTCGGAAAGTGGACGAGGTGATTGCAGAAAGAACTCTAAAAATAGATATGGTTACCCGTCAAAATAACCTTAAGATCAGAGGGCTGGATGAGAAGGTGTGTGAACCGTTCCAACTTCATGATTTTTTATCAAAATGGCTGGCACAAGAGATTCCACTTGAGGGAGACATTATCCCGATCATAACGAAGGCTTATCGCCTAGGCTCCCTGGCAACTCTTAAAAAACGGCAGTCCAGAGACATTCTGTTAACAGTCTTGGACACACGTTTTAAAAACGCGATCATGCGAACTGCCAGACAGAAAGGACACCTTAACTTCAAGGGAGCCAGAATTGAAGTCTACCAGGATCTCCCGTCCGAAGCACTTGAGAAGAGGCGGGAATTGAAACCGATTATGGCGGCCCTTCTAGAAGCCAATCGCCGCTACAAATGGGTGACGCCACTAGTGCTGCAGCTCACGCATCAAGGGAAGACCTATCGAGTTTCCTCACTAGAAGAAGGAAAAGAATTACTGCGTGCTCTGCAACTTGAAAGCCCGATGGAAGTCAACGTCAGATCGCAAAACGGGGCTTGGAAGCTACCTCGCCCTCGCCACCGCCATTTGACTCCAACAAGATCGCTAGATCCGAAACGGCGCAAGAAGAATCCCAAGCCTCTACAAGCACATCTTGAACAGAACGCTTTTTAAAGAGGTCGATTTGTTGTCATTCATACCGAAGTACCGTGACAGCGCGTACATGCTCCGTATCCTACATGTTTAACAGTTAGGTTATTAGGACCGCTGGAGGTTGCTCTGTAAAGATCTTGAGTGCTTCAGCTCACCCGTATCGTGGTATATGTTATTGGAAAAGGGTTTAAGGTTTTATGAAGGTTACTCTACTTTATTAAGTCAGTAATGTTAATGGTTTTTAAATATTCATCTCTTACAAGGTGTGGGGAAGGTCTCCAAATGGAGCTGTGGTTTTTTGCTCCAAACAAGTTTTTTTTAAAATCTTTTCTTTAGGTTTATTTGCCCTGCTCTAGGAACTAGGTACTGAAAGTACCAGTTTCCTGCGGCTACTGAGATAGCTGCAGATAAAAGGGCACAACTTTTTTAAATACGGTTTTTCAACACACTGATCTCAATTAACTCTACGC